CTAAGGAGTTAACGGCGTGTGTACAGCTGCAGGGGACCGGCCAGGTAACAACAGCCGAGCTGATGCAAGCGGTGGTCGGGCTATGTGGAGGATTGCTGGCGTGCAGAGTGATTGGAGAGAGGACGTTTGAACTCACGATGGCGAGCGCTGGAGGGAAGGAGAGGCTGATGGAGGGGCTGAAAGTCGGGGATGTGGCAGTGATGGCGAAGGAGCTCTGTGATAATGAGATGGTGGTCTCGTTCCTGAACCTCCCGGCCTACATCTCGGATGAGGAAGTTCTGGAAAAACTCAGGATCTGGGGAGTTTCAGCCGTCTCGAACATCAGACGCAGGATGTGGCCGGGGACCAATATTGCAGATGGGACACGCTTCCTCAAAGTAAGATTTAACAAGCAGGTTCAGTCTCTTCCATATTCCACCAAATTCACCACTCATAACGGGGCAGAATATTTCAGGGTCATTCATGACAAACAAATCAGAGTGTGTAAATTATGCATTCAACCCGGCCACATCCTAAGAGACTGTCCAGAGTTTAATTGTCATAAGTGTGGAGCTCAGGGGCATTACGCCAGGGAGTGTGACTTGATAGCAAAAGACATTAATTCAATGTTGGATTTTGGTCAGATTTGTTATTTTTGGTTGAGGTTGAAAAATCTATGTTGATTCAATGTTTAATTATAGTTACCGTTTCAACGTTTGAAAAACTGTTGTTGAATCAATGTTGTATAGATGATGATTTTTCAATGTTGAAATGCCCTATAATGAATCGACATTGTTTCAATGCTGATGGGGTGCGGGGAGGAGGGGGACAGGGGGGCTCACGGGACTTCTGTGGCGCGAATTTTGGCACTTGTGGGCAAGTCGGCAGAGAACGGCAGTTCATCCTTCAGTGTGTGAGACAAACTGGTAAATCCTTATGGAATATAATTTACTATCCCATACATAATAATAATATTTTATATATATATATATATATATATATATATATATATATAAAATATTATATTCACCTGACTGTCATCGTATGACTAAATGTTAACTTGGTGTATTATTGCCGTGCCGCCGTGTAAACTGAAGTCCAGAGGTTGTAGCTTGATAGCATTATCATTCGCTAGCATGCTAGCTGGTAATATTTAACTGGTAAGTCCTAATGTAATATATTATCCATTCAGATACCATCATATGACTGTCATCGTTTGACTTAGTTAAGTGTTAACTTTGTGAATTATTGCCGTGCTAATTTAGTCTGGAGTCTGTGTATCATCTTTTTTTTGCTTGTATTAACAATGCATACAATATAATAATATTAGCTAGCATGCTAGCTAACGTTATGTCTGCCATTTCGCTAGCGAGCTCCGCGATTAAAACACATTTTATTCATCTGTGTTATTGACGGTTTTAATAGTTAACGTTACATAGGTCAGGAGGTTAGGTTAGGACGATTGCTATGGCAACGGGGTGTGTGAGATACCGCCTGTGATTGGTGCATTGTTCGTTGTTGTGGGGCACCGGTGAGTGAGAGTTGGGAGAGACATTGAGAGTTAATGTTAAATATCTGCCTGTTTTATTATCATTATTCGTAGCTCATTATTCCGGGTCGCTACAGTATATTAGCGTTTTTAATAGTTACATAAGCAATGTTGTAACCAGCACCACCGCAAAGCTGTTCGTTTATTTATAATGGTGAACTAAGAAAACTAGCGTTAGCATGGAGCTAATCGCTAGCTAGTGTATGTAGACAGGATCAATTGGCTTTGCATGTAACGTTAGTAGTTCCGGAGTAACGTTAGAGCGGATAATGGTACGGAGACTTTTACTACAGTGTGGCATGTTGTAGGGGAATTTAGCCTGGGGAAACGGTGAAAACAAAATGCCTTTACTGAAAAGTCCCTCAACAGGGCTACCTGTAGTGTAGCTATAGTATAGCTGAACATTGCAACTGGGGAAATTATTTTTCTGTCTTTTTCTCTTTCTTGTTAAGATATTTTAAAATGTTTTGTAAGAGCCTGAATAATAAAATAATTTGGCTGATATATATTTTTATTGTTAGTTTATGCATTGTTTTTTATTTTTCTTTGTTTCCCTCTTTTTTCAGGGTTGTAACTTACAAGAGGACTTCAGAGGATTCACTGCAAGAAATACGCAAGTAATATAATATAGCAGCACCACCTCACTCTCTAGCTAAAATGACTTCTTATTGGGCCAAAAGACGTAGAGTCATCAGAACTGTAAGGGACATAGAGAAAGATATCCTTAAGGAATACGAGGAAACTCTGCATAATGAAAGTACAAATTTATACCCCTGTGTGAATAGGGAACCACCCTTCACAATCTCTCATGTTTGCTAACTAGATACACCGCCAGCTTCCCTTGTACACATGGAAAATGAGCATATAGATGGTAGTGTAGATGGCAATGATGAAGTTGAATCAGATTATGTACAAATGGAAAATGAGCATATAGATGGTAGTGTAGCTGGAAGTGATGGAGCTGAACCAGATTCTCACTCTGACAGTGAGGAGCATCAACCTAGTCAGGATCTGCTTATAAGGAGCCTAAGATATTGGGCAACATCCTACTCCATCAGTCTGGTTGCTTTGTCTGCTCTGCTGTCCATCTTAAAGCTATTTCACCCTAGGCTTCCTAAAGATGGAAGAACTCTGCTTGGAACACAATCTCATGTTGCAACCACTCAAATGCAAGGTGGCGAGTACTTTCATTTTGGATTGGTGCAAGGAATACTTTCACGATTGAAATGTCTGAGTTTACCAGTGAACCTCACAACTCTTACTTTACAGTTCAACATAGATGATCTCCCCCTCTTTAAGAGTTCAAGACTTCAATTCTGGCCTATACTTGCAATCCTAAAATGTGATTACACTAAGTCCCCATTTATTGTCGGTATATTTTGTGGTTTAAGCAAGCCAAAGTGCGTTGTTGAGTATCTGCAGCAATTTGTTAGTGACCTTAAAAATGTACTGGCTAACGGCATTTTTCATAAGGGTAAGCCATTGAATGTAGAGGTTTCCTCATTTGTGTGTGATGCTCCCGCCAGAGCCTATGTTAAGAATGTTAAGTCACATAATGGGTATTCAGGATGCGACAAGTGTGGTCAAGAGGGTGTGTGTAGGAACAAAATGACGTATCCTGAAACAAATGTCAGGCTCAGGACTGGCTCGAGTTATTGTGATATGATTGATGAGGAACATCACTTGAAACAGACACTCAGTCCTTTAACAGGGATTGTAAAGATGGTTTCTTCATTCCCAATAGATTATATGCATCTCTGTTGTCTTGGGTTGATGAGAAAACTGTTGAATATGTGGTCAAAGGGCAATCTAGCCACTAGGCTTCCTTCACAAACTGTTAACAGTATATCAAGCAAACTGCTGGTGTTACATTCCCACACCCCTGTTGAATTCAATCGCAAGCCAAGAGGTTTGAATGAGCTTGATTGTTGGAAAGCTACTGAGCTCCGATCCTTTATGTTATACTGGGGTCCTGTAGTTCTGAAGGATTGCCTTCCTAGTGAGCTTTATGACAATTTTATGTTATTTTCAGTGGCCATGTATTTGTTTTTGTCACCTGGACTTCATTGTCAAATGGTTGAATTTGCACATAGATCGATGATTTCCTTTGTCGAACACTTTGGACAGCTGTATGGTACGGATGAGATTGTGTTCACTGTTCAGCAGCTTATACATTTAGTTGATGAATACAAACAATTTGGACCTTTAGATAATGTTTCAGGATTCCCTTTTGAGAATTATCTTTATCCAAATAAAGCATCTTTTACGCAAGCCACACAAACCTCTACAACAGGTTGTCAAAAGGTTGTCAGAAATGCCACATGTTGAGCTTCCATTAGCAACAGATGAACCAGTCTTACAGAACATCCATACTGATGGTCCACTTCCTCGACATTTCAGTGTTGCTCTACAGTACACAAAGGTCTCCAGTAGTCGCTTTACCTTGTCTACAAAGCAGGGGGAGAATTGTATTGAGGTGGGAGATACAATTGCAATGTATTGTAAAACGTATTGTAAAACGAATTGCTTTTCTTCTAAGACATTGCTGCCAACAAAAACACCAAGATGCTTACGGAACTACTCATGGAGGTGAAGCAAATGTCACGGGACATTCAGTTTATAAAGACTGAAATCGCTAAATCCTCCATGAATATTCCTGGAGCAGGTCCTGCATCACAGAGAGAAACGCCTTTCCCCATTGTTCTGCCACTCGCCAATGAGGAGCAGTTTGATGAGGCTGAAGCTGCACTGAAGGAGGAAACAGTCCGTCGAATGATGGTGAACCATTTTTAGACTAAGTATTTTCTTACATTTATTGTCAGGAATTGTAGGTGTGGAGGCATTAAAGGGATAGTTAGAATTTTTTGACAAGAGGTTGTATTACATCCTTACAATCAGTGTCGGGCATCAGCAGTGATTTTTCCCTCACTGCGTCCTGTGAGTGGAGTTCTGGCCCGGTTTTGGCGTTGCAGAAAGTAGTTCCGGCTAGTTGCTGGGGTCATTGCAGTAGTGCAGAATATAGTCCAAGAAAAAGATGAGGTCTATGTGATATACAGAAAGTTCAGACACCAAGAATCATATTACACTTATCCCTGTGAGTCCTCATGCATAGGTACATATAAGGTTAGAGAGTTGTGTGATGGTATCTGCGTTAGTAAACTGTAAACTGTATTAAACGTAAATGTGTTCTGTATCCAGAGTCAGAGGGAAATAGCCTCATAGCTATTCCAATAGCTCATATGCAGTAGCATAGCAGGTTTATGACATCTAATGATTCATGAGTATTTTTAATTTTATTTTTTTATCATTTATATTCTATTCTAATTGAATTTATTGTACACAGAATGGAAAGTGAGGTGATGCTTTGGGCTATTGTACTATTTCCAAATGGCGGAACTGCAACAGTTCTTTCCAGCTGGTTCAATCCAAAGGAAAGTACATTGTCCGGGCCCCCAAAAAACATGAATTATTCAAAGGCCCTTAAAGAAAACATGATGCCCCGTAAAGGATGGACCACGTATGAGAAAGTTCGGCTCTTAATTACTTGTGGTAAGTAGTCACTGCAGCACTATTGTCTGATGTAAATTATTCCATATCTAAGCTTGTCAATCTCATTTGTGACAGAATGAATGGCATTACTTTTATATCTGTCACAAATAGGACTAGTCAATCAGGTTAATTGAAGTGGCAACCTTGATGCCATTTTGTTCTCCTTTCTGGTATCTAAGGAGAACCATTAATTGTGGGGGTATTGGGGTAGAGTATATAAGATATATTGGTAGTTATTTCCTCATTTGGCAGATGGTAACTAAACAGATATGTATTTGAATTAAAATCTGATTGCCATTTGCAAAACCCTGTTTATATTACATTGTTTATCATACTTCTTAAAAATGGCATACTGTATTTTCTGCCTGTTCTTTTACAGACTCATTTGAAAAGGCCAAGCAACATGAAGAAATGTATGTCACTACTGGATGTCTGACCACTGATTTGGAATCAGAGGAGGAAGCAGATGTACGTCGGAAAAGAAGAACAAGGTACAGTTGAATTCCTCAACCAAATGTGCTTCGTAAATTAGCCTACACCTAGACGCCGCTGCCATGTGGTGAGTGTCAAACCTGAGATTATGAGGTCAGGGTTCAATCTCCGGCCGAGTCATAACAAAGGCTCGAACCTGCTTGGCACTCAGCTTTGAGGGTTGGATTGGATGTCTGTCCCGTGTCATGTCTATGTGTACTTGTATGTCAATCCGCCCTATTTCACAGAAACGGGCGATGGGCTCCTGACCCGAGAACAGTGTCCATCTCAAGGCTTGCTCATTTAATGTAATTATAATTAAAATTTTAATTGCTGGGAATGTTTAATTTTTATTTTCAAGGCCAAATCCTTTGTACATGGAGTCAGATGGGGAGCCAGAAACCAGCAGTGTTAAGAGGAAATTTGCCAAGCCACCTGCTATTCACTTTCCAGGTACAGTGGTGACACTGTCAGTTATGACACTACACTACAACTACTTTAAGTATTGCCATGTATAATTCTACTTATTTGTTAATACAGTGCTGCCAGAATCCAACCAGTACCCCTCTCTACCAACCCCAGATGCAAGCAGTGGTATGTCATTGCTTATTACAATGGCATGCAAGCTTTAATTTACAAGCCTTTAGTTCCTCTGTCAATACATGCAAACATATCAGTCATGTGATATGTGTTGTAAAGTTACAGCTCTATTCCTGTCTTGTGTTCCCTTCTTTTAGCCTCTGGAGGAAACTACTCAGAGGATGTTCAGTCATTTGACCAGCCTAATAATGGTAAGTGAACCACTTCACGTAACCTCAGGGTGGACAGATTTTAAATGTGCTTTGTCTGAGTTATAGCAATCATAGTTTATGTTTTGTGTTCTCTCATTTTAGGCTTTTGTGGAAACATCTTGGCAGAGCTAGAGTCAACAGACCTCTGTAATGATGGTAAGTAGACAAATAGGCTACATATGGCTATGTGATGCCCTCAGCCACTCTTATTGTGTCTAAAGTCTGTTTATTTAGTGTCTCCCTATCTTGTAAAGAGCTGTTTGCGTTGGCACGATATCATAAGTTATTTTACCTTGACTAATTAGGTTTATTTGAATCGATTTTAGGAGGGCACCATACTGGACAAGTAAGGAATGGTATGTCCATTGTCCCTGTGTCAAGAGGCTTTTGATACATTTGTGATTATTTAATTAGCTATCACTCAATAGTTGCTGTGCCTTTGCTATCGCGCCATGAGATACAGTACTGTGACTATAAAAAAAGCCTGAAATATTTGAACTTCTAGCTCCTGCCACTCTATATAAACTTTAAAACATATAAAAAGTCTTGATAAATTGTATCAATCACCACCCCCAGGGCTATAAAGGTGAGTTAACTAACAAATTCTCATCACATTTCTTTAACACCAGACATGCCAACCAATCTCGAATGATGCCATTCGATGGCCAATCAATCGGCATCCTTAGTTGCTATATGGTGCTCATTCATAACAACTTTGATAGTGCTTATTTACCTTATTTTGTTATTTCTGTCTGTATGTCTCTAGGTATGCCAATGTATAACTCAAGCCCCTACCACATTGTGCCATCAGAGCAAGCAAGGAATGGTATGTATTTCTCATCTTAAATGTAGAAATGTTGTCTGTGCAAAATTCCACAAATCATGTTCAACTTAATTAACGATGTGTGTCATTTCTTTTAGACATCAGTCCCAGCTATGCAAATGGCTCCACATCAGCTGAGTTCAGATCCCCTGGCCCGGGTAAAGATAGCTATATGCCCAATGACCCCCCAATACACAATGACCTAATGTGCAATGCCATGTGTGATGCCATGTTGTCGGTTTGTTAAAGGTTCAGCTCCAGATACACCACGGGGAAGATTCCATGGAAGGGAGCCCAGCCAAATGTTGCAAGGCAAGTATCATTTTCTGATCAACTTCTTAACCTTACTGATGCCATCTGAACTGAGAAACATGTCCCTTGTGACATGACTGTCTTTGTTAGGCTTAACATTTAAGTGCTTAATGGTTACTACAAGTTAGGGGTGCAAACATCAGTGATTCATCAGTTGCTTAGTGTCATTCTAAATGATTGAAAATGGACAATCTATCCTTGAAATGTATTGTAAAACGAATTGCTTTTCTTCTAAGACATTGCTGCCAACAAAAACACCAAGATGCTTACGGAACTACTCATGGAGGTGAAGCAAATGTCACGGGACATTCAGTTTATAAAGACTGAAATCGCTAAATCCTCCATGAATATTCCTAGAGCAGGTCCTGCATCATGGAGAGAAACGCCCTTCCCCATTGTTCTGCCACTTGCCAATGAGGAGCAGTTTGATGAGGCTGAAGCTGCACTGAAGGAGGAAACAGTCCGTCGAATGATGGTGAACCATTTTTAGACTAAGTATTTTCTTACATTTATTGTCAGGAATTGTAGGTGTGGAGGCATTAAAGGGATAGTTAGAATTTTTTGACAAGAGGTTGTAATACATCCTTACAATCAGTGTCGGGCATCAGCAGTGATTTTTCCCTCACTGCGTCCTGTGAGTGGAGTTCTGGCCCGGTTTTGGCGTTGCAGAAAGTAGTTCCGGCTAGTTGCTGGGGTCACAGAGATAAAGTAAATAAATAATAAAAAAATAATATGCATTCAAAAGAGTAATACATTTGCATCACGAATTGTTGGCCGTAAAAAAGTCCGACCTCACAGGGCATTATCACACTAATTTACAAGAACAAGGGGGAAAGGAACAAAATAGAGAATTACAGACCAATAAGTTTATTAAATACCGGCTACAAAATACTCTCAAAAATAATTGCAAATAGGATCAAGGAGGTGGTGGGGTCAATCATTAGCAATTCACAGGCATACAGTATACCAGGCAGGGACATTGCAGACACGATAGGGACAGTTAGAGACATGGTGGAAATAATGAACTCACAAGGTGGCATCTTAGTGGGCATAGACATGGAGAAGGCCTTTGACGGAGTGGATCATGGTTTTTTGTGGGACACATTGCGTAAGTTTGGTTTTGGGGAGAATATCATTGGGTGGATTAAGTTATTGTATGTAAAGGGCACGAGTAGGGTAAAATGTAACGGCTCACTTACAGGGGAGATTCCACTGGAGAGGTCGGTGAGGCAGGGGTGTCCGATGTCTTCATTGTTATATAGTATTGTCGTGGAGCCTCTGGCCATCCAAATAAAAATAAACGCTGGGGTCAAAGGTGTCCACACACCTGCCGGACAAGCAGTAAAAATAGTGCAGTATGCGGATGATTTAAACTTTGTGGTGGCTGATAGCAACAGCGTCGACTGTGCCCTAGAGTGTCTCAACACTGTAAACCCAGATAAGTTGAGTTTACTTAAAAAATTTTAGGAAACCGGTTGCCTTAAAAAAATTAAGTAATGTTTTATGAAAATTTTAAGTTCAATGCACTTACCTCCAAGTTGATTTAACTTAAAATCATTTGTAATATTTATTTCATTGCTCATTTGTTCCACTTAAAATTGAAAGCCCAATGCACTAACCTCCAAGTTGATTTCACTTGAAATCACTTGTAATGTTAATTGCTTTACCCAATTACTCCACCTAGTATCTTAATTGTAAAAAACAAAATTACATTTCATTAAACTGTTTTAAACCAGAAATTCTAAATTAAGAAAATAAAAAGCAAAACACAAAAGTACATTCTTTTCAAGTTTTATTTTAACTTGGGGCACAGGAAACATTTTTAAACCATATTATTTGTTCTTGGTTGAGCCTGGCGGTGTATAACATATTTTAGAAGGCAAAGAAGCCTCTTCTCTGTTAACTTCTGCTGCTCTCTACATGCACAAATTGGAAAGTGGAACCACAACTTTAGCTTTGATGTGCACAATGCCAGTGTCTTCCATGCTCCCACTATGACAGGATTGCTGGAGCACTACAAGGACCCTAAGTCCTGCTAATAATAAAACCACAATAAAACCATAAAACATGCCTAGCAATACGGATGGAACCAAACTGCTAGATCAGTACAAATACCATCATCTGATCATCATCAGAAAGACACAAAGACAGTGGAAATACTTAAAAACATATCACAAACAGTGCAAAACAGTAAACATGGTATTTTAGACGTGCAACAACACCAAGCACTGATATTTGGAACAGTGGTATATTTTAAAACACTGTTTTAGACAGAGAGTTGATTTTTTAGTGTTTGGATTTTTGGTGCAAGCTCACCTCTGCCCAGGTTGAGAATTACCTGCTGAATGAACTGGAAGGTGTTTTTCATGCATTTAGGGTAATCTAAGTGCAAGGCGTAAATCAGTCCAAAAAGATCACAGAAGGCCTGTGGTAGGTTGGCCAGCTCCTCCATGATCACAACCCCCTCCAACACGATGCCTACTGTGGATGGGTTGAACTGAGGATTTTCGTCAATGCAGAAGGTTCCCACTGGCATCTGACTGTACAAGTCCTTGTCACTTGCGTCCTGACAGAAAGAAACAGACAAGGACAATAAATATAACTTCTCAAACTAACAAAACACAACAAAGTTAGCCATTAGCAACTAGTAAACACGGCTTCCTCCGCCTCCTATGTCACATCTGCCTTCTTCTTCGCTCGGCAAAGTAGCGGCGAATCGCTACTGTGCAGCGGAAGATGTCAGCCTCCGTGTAGGGGGACCCGAGGTATATGTACACAGTACGAAATCTGAAGTAATAAAAATGTAACGACTTGTTTCATAGGGTGACTATATAGCACTAACAACATAGTTATATGTATTATTTACATTTCTGTTAATAAATCACCATAAATATTACACACTGGACCTTTAATCACTAAAAAAAACAATGCACCTGCATCATTTACAACAAATGTAGTTACTTACAGGGAAGGTTTTGAAGAATTCAAAAGGATCGTCCCTGAAGATGACTGGCAGTCCCCGAAGACAAAGGCACCTTATGTCTGTTGGCTGCGTGGTCTGCAAGATAGTGGACATAACTAAATCACATATAGTTATGAAATACATTCATTGACTTCCCCACAGATTTTAATTACTTTAAGGGCTGTCAAAGTAACATGTTAAATTAATTATAGAAAAAATAACTCTAGCAAGTGGAAATATCCATATTACTGGTTAAAACAACATTTTTACTGCTCACAAACAGCCACTGCAGCTAAATCTATGGACTATGTAGAGAAAATGTCTTTAACTGGTTAAAATGTTGTTGTTTTCTCTACTCTGGAGCTAAAATGTGGCGAATGTTAGCATATAATGTAAGCTGGTTAAAACAACATTTTTCACCACTCAAACAGCCAACTAACACACAGTGCCAACTTTAAAATCAAATATTAAAACACAGTGTGGTCGCTCACTCACCAGATTCAGTCGTCCTGTCGCAGCACACATCGACTCGATAGGCCAACCGGGGCGCAACAGGTGAACACAAATGCGGGAGATGTAACAGAAATGCTGCATTCAAGTGCTGCCAGAATAATCGGAAAAATTAATTTGAACTTCAAATTAATATAACCTATACATTTTGCTTAGATATAACGTGCAATAGAATATTAAAGTTAATTGCTGTCCATGTAGAGTGACTATAGCACAAACCCTGATAATAAGTCACTATTTTTGTGGTTTTAGGGAATGTAGATTACTCATGCAGCAACAAGTCTGGGACAAAATAAAGCTTTAAACCGTCTCAGCACGTTTGAGAACGTGAATCTCCACTGGTATGATATCAATGTCTTTGTAACACTCTGAAAAATATTAAAATACAACACATCTGTTTTGTAGCATCCATGCTGTTCCCACATTATTTCCCACAAAGTCGGAAAAATTACTTCCCAACTCAGAAATGCCGAAACTTCCAATACAAATGAATGCAGCACTAATCATCAAGATTCAAATTCTGTTGTGACGGGAAATAAAGAGGCGTGGTCATGACCAAAACTTATGAATTCCAGCCCATTAAACTTAAAATTATTCACACATTATATTGCTATCAAATGTAAGTATATTCTACTTCTAATTAGTAGAATATACTTACATTTGATAGTAATGCAATCAAACTTAAATGTATTGATTACATTGTACTTGATTGTTTGATTAGATAGGAAATCCGCGCTAACAGTGAAGATTTACGAAGAGGGGGCAGGGGCAAAAGTGAATAAAACAAAATCTGAAATCATGTTCTGCGGGAAGCAGAGCATGGTCACAAATAAGTGGGGTTTTAGGGAGATTAAAAGCGGAAAAAAAATTCTTGGCATATTTTTTTCGAAAGAATAGAGAAAAAGCAAGGGATAGGACATGGGAGGAAACAGCACAAAAGGTGAAAAACAAGATTAGCAAGGTTACTAACAAGGTAGTAATTTCTAATGCTCTAATACTGTCCAAAATTAATCACGTTTTGGGAAACTGTGAGTTGCCGATTTGGGCACTAAATTCGCTAAATAGTGCTATTTCCTCTTTTCCGTGGAGGAATAAAGGAAATTCAATTGCTCACAGAGTGTTACTTGCTAAGAAAAGGGAGGGGGGCTTAGGCTTGATTGATATAAGTGCCAAAAGAGATGCACTGAGGCTAAAATTAATTAGCAGATTTTTGGATTCGACCCGGCTGTCCCCCTGGATGGACTGGCTGGCAGGCCACCTGTCTGAGTACGGTGAGAGGAGTGTGTACAACTTCTGTGTCTCCTCTCCCAGAAAGGACTATGGTGGTCTGCCGGGGTTCTACCAGGAGGTATTAGAGGCATGGGGTAAGATTCTGCCCCACCTCAAGCCAGAGTGCAGCAGAAAAGAGCATGTTTTGCAGCTACCTTTCCTCTCAAACCCAACTTTTTTTATGGGGTGGAAGATGTATGTTGAGCAAGTGTCTGACGGCGGCTGGTCTCACTAAAGTGGGACAGGTGGTTGGAAGCACTGGTGATTTTGATATTGTAAAAGTATGGATGGAAATGAAAAAAAAGAAGATTTTGTTTAGAAGGAAGCATGTGGCCAAACTGGGCTACAAGTTTCAAGAAAGTTTGCTGCCTGAGTGGCTGAGCCTACTCAGGAGCAATAGCGATAAGATGCAGGGCGATGCCTTGGGGTTCCTCCTGTGCCTTAAAAACCCACCTGTAAATGTAATATCCGTCAAAACTAGAGACTGGTACAATATCCTGTTAGCAAAAATTTCACAAACATTGGGAGACATTTTTTCCCACTCGATCAATCAACATCATCTGGAAAAACATAGATATCCCATTCGCAACTGCCAATTCATTTCATTTAGACTTTAATATTAGGCACAGGAGGATCTTCACAGGCATCGTCCTGCATCAGATCGCAAAAAATGTGTATAGCAGGATATGCTGTGTGTGGGGAGGGGGAGGAGAATCTTGAACACCTCTTTCTCTATTGCAGCGCACACACCGGGCTGTGGGAGAAAGTTCGACAGCTTTTAGAGTCACACTGTAACTTCAGTACTAGCAATGGCAGTGGGCTAGATTGTTTGGACTAAATCAAAACCACAATACCTACAATAAGAACTTCATAAACATGGTCCTTGCTTTCGCAAGGAAAGCAGCATGGAATGTGAGAAACTGCACTACATGAACAGAAAATCTGCAACAGCCAAATACTATTTACAAACTCTCTGAAAGCGCATCTAAGGCTGTTGCATGGAAGGAAGGACGTATGGACAAAGAGTGCATTATACTCAAGACATTCACTGTTTAAAGAGCATGGGGAGGGCAAGGAGAGCCGATTGGAGTTTGCTTTTAAAAAAAAAAAAAAAAAAAATATTAGGAAAATTGTATCACTTTGTAATATCTTGTTTATTGTTATTTAGTTTGTTTTATTTTGTTCTATATGTTTATTTTAATTAAAAGATTTTGTTTTTTTTATTTGAATCAATTTGGTTGATTTATTTACTTTGTTTGATTTATGTGTTTTAGGTTCTTAATCTAATTCATTTGTTTATATTATTTGTTTGACTTTTTCAGCTTTTTTGTTCATTTTATTTGATTTTGGTTTTGGATTTGTTTCTTTGATTAGTTTATCTGTTCTAATGTAATTTATTTTTAGTTCACTCTAGGTCTAAGTGTTTCATTTGTGTATATTTGTATATAAGAGTTAATGTTTAAAGTGTATTTGTATTTTCAATAATAAAAGATAAAAAAAAAAAAAAAAGGCGCCCGATCTCGTCCGATCTACTTGGATGGGAGACCGCCTGGGAATACCAGGTGCTGTAAGCCTTTTCATTTCTCTTAGCAAACAGCAGAGGCTGCTGCTTCTTCACTGTACACAGAACGTTGTTCAGATATTTTTTCCACTGTTGTTGTATAATATTTAAGCTTTCCGTCTAGATGGAATTCATTTGATTCTACTATTGTTATTATCATTATCATTGTTGTTGTTGTTTTTGTTGTTGTTGTTGTTATCACTTGTCCACTGCAGGATAATATCTAAACTTCATTCATGAGGACATGTTGAATTTTTGTCCTGCACACCCTGTTAAGGAATTGATTTCGTGGGACCTGATTTTGGGAGAGTTCAAGTCAGTAAATGCATGAATTAATACAGAACTAAGTTGGTCATCAAATTGTAAGTACATAAATAAACGTCTTGAATGGACTCTAATCCCACAGACAAACAGAACATGGTGTAACAGCGTCTTTAAAAGGTCCATTTGCAGGTGAAGCTCTCGCTTACGGCCATACCACCCTGAACGCGCCCGATCTCGTCTGATCTAGGAAGCTAAGCAGGGTCGGGCCTGGTTAATACTTGGATGGGAGACCGCCTGGGAATACCAGGTGCTGTAAGCCTTTTCATTTCTCTTAGCAAACAGCAGAGGCTGCTGCTTCTTCACTGTACACAGAACGTTCAGATATTTTTTCCACTGTTGTATAATATTTAAGCTTTCCGTCTAGATGGAATTCATTTGATTCTACTATTGTTATTATCATTGTTGTTGTTGTTGTTGTTGTTATCACTTGTCCACTGCAGGATAATATCTAAACTTCATTCATGAGGACATGTTGAATTTTTGTCCTGCACACCCTGTTAATGAATTGATTTCGTGGGACCTGATTTTGGGAGAGCTCAAGTCAGTAAATGCATGAATTAATACAGAACTAAGTTGGTCATCAAATCGTAAGTACATAAATAAACGTCTTGAATGGACTCCTATTCCACAGACAAACAGAACATGGTGTAACAACGTCTTTAAAAGGTCCATTTGCAGGTGAAGCTCTCGCTTACGGCCATACCACCCTGAACGCGCCCGATCTCGTCCGATCTCGGAAGCTAAGCAGGGTCGGGCCTGGTTAGTACTTGGGTGGGAGACCGCCTGGGAATACCAGGTGCTGTAAGCCTTTTCATTTCTCTTAGCAAACAGCAGAGGCTGCTGCTTCTTCACTGTACACAGAACGTTGTTCAGATATTTTTTCCACTGTTGTTGTATAATATTTAAGCTTTCCGTCTAGATGGAATTCATTTGATTCTACTATTGTTATTATCATTGTTGTTGTTGTTGTTATCACTTGTCCACTGCAGGATAATATCTAAACTTCATTCATGAGGACATGTTGAATTTTTGTCCTGCACACCCTGTTAATGAATTGATTTCGTGGGACCTGATTTTGGGAGAGTTCAAGTCACTAAATGCATGAATTAATACAGAACTAAGTTGGTCATCAAATCGTAAGTACATAAATAAACGTCTTGAATGGACTCTAATCCCACAGACAAACAGAACATGGTGTAACGTCTTTAAAAGGTCCATTTGCAGGTGAAGCTCTCGCTTACGGCCATACCACCCTGAATAGATGAGCTGAAAGGGCTAGTGATTGGGAGATGTATAATAGTAGGGGATTTTAATATTAAATGTAGCAGGTTAGATATAGGGAAGGGTGTAGTTTTCAGATGGGAAAAGTCGAGGGAGAGTTTATTAGACATTAAGGATAAGGGTTTAGTAGATGTGTGGAGATATGAGAATCCAGAGAGGAGGGAATTCACCAGGAGGCAAATGAGGGATGGAGTACTGAAACAAAGCAGGATAGACTTGGTTTTAACACAGGGAGAGAACATAAAACATATAGACAGAATAAGACATGAAATAAATTCACTGAGTGACCATGATGGGTTGAGGTTCAGGATTAAGGTAGGGAGAGAGGAGATAGGGGGAGGTATGTGGATTTTGAATGCAGGGTATATTGAAGAGGATGAATATAAACAACAGATTAAGGAGTTATTAGATTGGGAGAATGAGAAAATATAAGAATGCGTTGAAGACAATAGGGCAGATACTCAGATCGGGGAGATATGGGAGAAAGTGAAGAATAAGATTAAATCAATAAGCATTAGGTATAGTAAGAAAAGAAAAGTGAAAATGATGAGGAAAGAGAAGGAGTTGAGGGAAAGATTGAGGGTAGAGCTGAGTAAAGCAGAGAATGAAGAAGGTTACAGCATGGAGAATTATATAGAGGTAAAGATAGAACTACAGAGATATGAGGCAGAGAAATGTAGAGGTGCAATTTTACGGAGCAAGGCAAAATATGCGCTGGAGGGAGAAAGGTGTACAGCGTACTTTTTGGGCCTAGAAAAAAGCAAGCAAAGCAGGACATATATACACGAAATCAGAAATAAGGAGGGGGAGGTAGTAGCAGACTATGTGGCCATACTGGAGAGGGTGCAAGAGTTTTATGGGGAGTTATATAAGGGAGGTGGACTAGAGGAGGACAGTATAGTGGAGGTACTGGATAGTGTAGAAAGTAAGCTGAGTGTGGATGATAGTGAATGGTGTGACAGAGATATAAATAGGAAAGAGGTGATGGAGGCGATAGAGGGGCTGAATAGTGGGAAGAGTCCAGGGAGTGATGGGATAGGGATTGAATTTTATAAAGTATATAAGGAGCAGATGGCATCAATTTTAGTAGAGGCTTTTAGGGAGATTGAGAAAACAGGGATAGTGCAGGGTAGGATGGTAGAAGGTGTTATTACCTTAGTTTTTAAGAGGAAAGGGAATAAACTAGATCTGAAGAATTATAGGCCTATAAGTCTGCTGAATGTGGATTACAAAATTCTGGCCAAGGTGTTGGCTAACAGAATTAAACGAGTGATAGGGGGTATAATTAAAACATCTCAGAGTTACAGTATACCAGGTAGGGATATAGCTGACACAATAGCGACAGCTAGGGACACAATAGAATTCATGAAGAGAGACAGGGCAGGGGGAATAGTGCTAGCTATAGATTGGAACAAAGCGTTTGATAGGGTGGAGCATGAGTTTTTGTTTAAATTACTGGTGAGATTTGGGTTTGGAGAGAGATTGGTGGGGTGGGTGAGGAGGTTGTACAAGGGTGCAAGGAGCTATGTCAAAATAAATGGGGTACTGACTGACAGATTCGGCCTAGGGAGATCAATAAGGCAGGGATGTTCTCTATCGGCGTTGCTCTATGCCATTTCGTTAGAGCCCCTGGCCTTACTAATTAAAAACGATGAAAGAGTTCGGGGCATACAACTACCATCTGGGAGCATACATACAATAAACCAATATGCGGACGACACAACAATAACAGTGAGGGATGGGAACAGTGTGAAAAGGGTGCTAGAATTAGCAGAATTATATGGGAGGGCATCGGCCGCTAGAATAAATAAATAAAAATCTGAAATAATGTATATAGGCAATGTAGAGAGAGAGGAAGTAGGTTTAAGGGTGGATAGGTATATTAAAGTGTTGGGTATATATTTAGGTGTTGAAACTAAAGAGGCAACTGAGGCAACATGGACAGGAATTATCAACAAAATAAAAACTGTGTGTGAGAGGTGGAAGGCAAGGAAGCTTAGGTTAAAGGGAAAGGTCACAGTGGTTAATAGTTTGCTACTATCAGTCTGTGTGTATGTGTTGTCTGTATTAGAAATGCCAATATGGGTTAAAAATAACCTCAACAAAATTGTGTGTGATTTTATATGGGAGGGGAAGGGAGTTAAGATTGCACAGGGAACACTGGTGGGCAAAAGGTGTGAAGGAGGGCTGAATCTACTAGATATAGAAACAAAAAGGACAGCATTGAGGATTAAAATGGTGAAGAAATATATCGTGGGAAGATATAAATACGGGTGGATGGATTTTATGGAGAAATATATTGAAGATGTGAGTGGCATAGGACAGTATATGTGGTACATGGGCCTAAAACAGTCAATGACGATAAACATACCCGAATTTTATCGAGAGGTCTTAGAAGCCTGGAGGAGATTTCTACCTAAGATGCAATATGAATGTGAGAGCATTCAACCTTTGGTAAAACTGCCCGTTTTTAAATGAAAAAATTAAACACAATGGCAAAACATTATATGAGCCCAAATTCATAGAAGGAGGGATTAGACAAATAAAGGACATCATTTATGAGGTGATCCCAGGATTCCTAAGAAATAATTGTATATATGATCAGGTATGTGAGCTGGAGGGGATGGATAATAGAGAGAAAGTAAATAAAATATATGAAAAGATTAAAACAAGTATACCCTTAGAGTGGGCTAAGATCATCAAAAGTGAATGTGTGGTGAAGGGAGAGACAAGCATGCCTGAGTTATATGTGATGGAGAATGGGAAAAAGATTAAAATTGGAGAAATGAGTGTGAAGAAAGTATATAGATGGTTGATAGTGGATGTGATGAAGGAGCCGGCAGCTGAGAAAGTGTGGAGCAGAGTGTTTGTGGGTATGGATGTAAAGAAAATATGGTCAAATATGGGGATACGGTATAATAGTATAGAGTGTGAGAACAATGATTTCT